TGCTTAGCATGTTTGTTTAGTGAATGAAAAGAAGAAAATACGCACAGCTAGAATGACCGAGAACAGGCTGAGTCCACATCTATTTATTTTCAAAACCTGAACCCCCCCCCCCCCCCCCCCCCCCCCCCCCCCCACCGCCCCCCCCCCCCCCCTCTAGGCTAGCCCCATCCCCAACTCTCCAGTCCTTTTACATCAAGTGTTCTAAGATTGGTCATGTACTACCATACCTGGCAAAACAAAACACCTCCCTCCCCGAAGTTTCATTAGAATGTTTGAGACATTAATGTCTGTCTCAAATAAAGAAAGCCTATGAGCTCTGTTCTCTAAGAGTATATATCCTTAAGGAGTAACAGGAGCTAGAGATTGTCCTTCATGTATGGCACTGTAGTATGCTTGGTTTTGTGGAGGGAGGTAAAGAGTGAGTTTTGCTCTGAATCATATCATACAAGGTTGGAAACACACACAGAATAGAATCATACAGACAAGAAACTCCTGCACAAGCTTCATTTTCAGGGTGAAGAAATTTTGGCCAAGGGAGAGCATCTTGCTCAAGGCCACTAAGCTAAATACGGGAGCATAGCTTTGATGTAATTATCAAATCAAATAGCAAATGAAGTAATACATTAAAAACTTTCCACAATGCACCTCCTTGGAAACCTAGCATTTTAAACCATTAGTAGGTGGTCCGATGCCACCCACAGAAAGTAAAAGGGGATGATAAACTCACCTGACAAATCAGCTCTAACATGACCCATACAATGGACTTGGTAACATATGTTTGTAATCCCAGAACTTCAGAAATGGAGGCAATGTTTGTGGAAATTTTAGCCTCAAAGGGTGGACTCTGTCAGTCTGTACAAGCTAGGGTCTGCCACCCCATCCCCAGTATATCAACAAAGAGACAGGTAATAGGGGACAGCAGGGATAGATTTATTCACTGTGGCCCCATTGGGAAGAACCAATAAAGAGAACCTGTACCACCCAGTCTGTCTTCCAGGCACTAACAGAGGTTTATGTTTATAAACAGAGAGCAAGGGGTATGCATAATTAATAGTTCTGGTCAAGCCTCTGTCATGGTCTCTGCTGTAAGTCTGTCCTAAAAAAATGGTGTGATAAACTATGATCTCTTTTCAGTAGACAGTTTTCATTCTTGGCACTAGGGCATTGGCTTTTTCATTTCACTAGCATGGAATTCCTGGGGAAAATTAAGTTCTTTGGACTCCATTATTCCAATAGTCTTATAGCACAACAGTGGAATTAAGAATTCAAGGCTAGCCTCATCTACACAGCAAGTTTCAGGTCAGCCTGTGTTACATGAAACCCTATCTCATAAACTGAACCAAGGCTCTGTTTAGGCCACACTTGTGAATTCTTTTGATTTCTAGGTGTTGAGTCCCAAGGCCTTCGAACTCCGGGCTTGAGGGTCAGAGGTAGGCAGGAAGGAGAGGTATGCATTTTAATTCAGTGTTTGTCAGTGTTGCCTAATGACACGTTATGGTGCCACTTTCCTGCTTGGAGCATAAGTTGGCCTCCAGGTCTTGCCAGTATTTTACTATCAGAGCCCAAATAGGTTCAAGTCAAAAGAATAATTCCTCAGGAAGCCGGGAATCCACCCAATTATCCACCACCACCTCTTGGTTATTCATTTATCACTGATTTTTTTTTAAAGGTAAGTTTTATTCAGTTACTTTGGGACAGGGCTGTGAGTCAGAAGTTGGTATCAAAACCAGAATAGAAGTCACAGTTTTCTCTGGGGATTCTACTCCCGGCTTCGAATCCCCAGATCACAATACTTTCTAATTGGAAAGAAAGGCTTGTAAACAAGCACAGGGATTTGTTGGCCCCTGACACTGACTAAAACGGGCGGTCTAAGGGACTGTCTGAAGATGGATTCACATGTCAAAGTGAAATTTTAAAGTATTTCCACCCCGAGGTTTACTGCTGGATGTAAATTGGGCAATCCCACCACAATACACCCCTGCCCCCCTCCCCCGAGCGCAGAAACTCCTAAACTAATTAACGCTGAAACGACATTCAAGCAGTCTTCCCCCAAATGCCTTTGTTTTCCGAGAGATTTTATTGACAAGCTGACTCACGAAGTTCCTGTGTAAACTGACTGTTTCTCACCCCTCAGTCTGCAGACCAATGGAAGGCCGGTTTTATATCTTCTCTATAGCCGGCACTGAGTAGACCTTGCGTTGTATTCACCGAACTGTGGACCAAATGGCTCGCACGCTTCCATTAAGAAAATTATCTAGGGTGCTCACACAGTATCCGGGTAAACACAACGCTGTCATTTAAGGCTCGTTTGCTAACATTCACATGACTGAGGGCAATTCCTGAACTGGGGGAAAGGGATTTTGTTTTGTTCAACATCATCTTCTCAACAAAAGCCTTTCTTAGCTTAAATGTACTAGGTCCGAAGTGGCTGAACCCCTCCAGAAACGGGCGCGCAGGCGCCCACACGCACACGTGGACACACACACTCACACGCGCCTGCCTACACCCCCTGCGTGTGACTCGCCTACGCGATTTATGGGCTTCTCCGGCAGGGATTACTGTCAGGTGCAGAAAGCAGCCCTTTGTTCTGTGTGCTCCCCCACCCCCCGCCCG